TGGGGCAGGGGAGGAGCCACCCCCTTTCGCTCCAGTCCAGCTCCGGGCGCAGCGCCTCCCCACCCCTCCAGGCTCCAGACTCGGGTGCTGGGTTTCCCTGAGCTGAGGGTGACCTCTTAGTTCCCGGATCGGGGTCCCCCCCTCTCCAAGACCCTGGTCAGTGAGCCTACATACTGCCAGGGCAACGACTGGGCGCACCACCTCCCGCCTTCCTGTGCCAGCGCAAGGGGTGGGCCAGGAACCGCCCCAAGTCAGGTCTGCCATTCACTGGGTCCCCTCAGCCTCCCCTCCAACCCCCACAAATGTCCTGAGGGAGATCCAAGCAAGGACTGGGTCCCTGAGGATCCTCAGGCAAGCCACTTAAACCTTCTTACGTGTGAGAGCCATCAAACGGCCAAGACCCACAGGGCATGGAGTAGGCACTTGGATTGTTATAGTTGCTATTGACATGCTCGTTCACAAATCCGACCTCTCCAGTCCTCTGGTGCAATCTTTCAGGTGCCGCTGAGAACCGTGTATTCAGGCTGAAGTCTCTCAAGTCTCTCTACGACCTCAACTTGATCTATTTCTCTAGCCCCACTTGCCAACAATGCCACTGAACCCCCGGTCACTGGCAGACCCCCTGCCCGAACCGTGCAGCTTCAAGCCACCACGTTGGCTTGAAATGATCTGTTTAGTGGTCCCTCTTCTCCTTTGGATTGTGAACCAACCCTGAGGACCGATGCTCTCTGGCACAGCTTTTATCTCTCGCTCCTAGCTTAGTGCTTGACGTATAGCAGGTGCTCAGTAAAAGTGTGTTTGAACCAAATGGGATTGTTGGGTAACCTCCCCGAGCCTCAGTGCCGTCGTCTATAATCAGACTCGTGAGCTGCCAGCTCAGAGATAGTGGGAACAAATGGGACCGGACGTGGACGAGCCACACGGTACTTGCCACAACTGTGAGCACGGTCGCCACTCAGCCACCTCGCCCAGGCATCCTTGAGAGCTGCTGTGCACAGGCCAGGCACTCTGAGAGGCCGGCTCTTCGATTTGGGAGCACTGTGGAAGGAGCCCCAGTTTGGTTGAGGCACTCAGGTTTGGGCATGCCAGGACAGTACGAGTGCCCTGTGGACCTGAGCTGCTCCAGCAAGTGCCCACTCCACCTCGGGAAATGGAGCACAGAGAGTAGCCTGCCAACACCATCCATCAGAGGGCTGGGTGGACGATATGCACCCCACTGTGGGTGGAGGGCCGAGGTACCTGTCTAGAGAAGGAGACCCAGGCCCAGGGACAGCAATGTCACAGGCTCCACTGGGCTCAGCAGCCCCTTCTCATTGCCAGATTCTTCTATAAATGACTAGGGGGCTGGAGCCCTGTGAGACGTCTGCCCCAGGAAGGTTCTGAAAAAAACAAGCCATGATGTTCCTCGGGTGGGTTGGACTCCAAGGATCCATTATCTGGAGGCTGAGTGTGGACCCCAGGGGACCATGGGCCATGGGAGATCATGTGCAAAAGGTGAGGTATCTCTGATACAGGAAGGCTAGTTTGCTGAGAAGGGGATCCTTAGCTTACACAGTATTCCCAAATAGGTTACTGGCCCCCAAAGGTTAAGAGTCATTGTATTACATATTCATTTGATGAAAATAAACTTTGCCGTCTTGTTGCGTGTATGTGGTCCATCCATAGGCTCTGCCAGAGGGGAGGTCTCCTGAACAGGATGGAGAAGCCCATGAGCCTTGGACTGCTGCTCTCAATTCCCCGGCACTCATCACCTGGCTCCGATAGGCCCGACTTGTGCATTTGTTAGTTCAATCACTTATTCATTTTACAAGCATTTAATGAGCTCCGATGCCAGGTGCTGGGGGTACCCAGAGGAATAAAACACACCGCCTGCTTGCTTCAGGGTCCTCCAGAGTGGGCTGCATGTTCTCCAGGGGTGTGCCAGGTAATCCACTATTTTTGTGTTTTACAATGTACATCACTTACTGGTAGACTGGTACCTGTTTCTATAAATAAACAAGTTAAATGACAGGGAAGTGTGATCACAAGAGTCTGGTAACCAGTCTAGAGACCAGTGTCAACCGAGCCATCCAACAGAGGAGACGCCCCCCAGGTGGACAGTCTCTAGGCCAGGTCTCTCCCGGGGGTGGGGTTGCCAGTAGACCCCCTTCAAGATGGTTCCCCCACCACTTTCTTATTTTGATATTTCCAAACATATAAAAAAGGTGAAGGAGAGTGTAAAGATCACCTGTATTTTTATCACCTAGACCCAAGAATTAACATTTTGCCGTATTTGCTTTATGTCATGTATTTATCTTTTTATTCGAATGTAAGTTGAAGATATTACATTTTCTCCCAAAAAACTCCAAGCATGTACCTCCTAAGAACAGTCCGCACATAACAATAACTTTATCACGTCTGAGAAAATGAACAAGAATGTCCTAATATCTGATTTGATCACATTAAAATGTCTTAGTTGTCCCAAAAATGTTGTAACTGTTTCTCCTTGAATTCGAGTCCAGTCCATTTCACCCACTGCATTTGTTTTCTTCCTTCCTTTAAAAGTCTCCCCGCCGCTCCCTCCCCAACACACCGACCTTTTAAAGAGGCCAGCTGACCTGCAGAATGTCCCACTGTCTGGATTTGTCTGATTGCTTCCTCATGGTGTCATTGGACTTGTTTTTTTAGCCTCCTGTAAACTGGAAGTTAGGTCTAAAAGCCTGATTAGATGCAGGTTAAACATTTTTGGCAAAGATGGTCATAGGTTACGCTGTGTGTTTTATTGGGTGGTACATGATGTCAGCTGCCTCTTAGTGATTAAGGAAGCGACTGCCATCTGTCTTCGTTGTAGAAATATATTTTTCACTTTGTGTGAAGAAGGAATCTAGAGGGGTGTTGTGATGCTCTGTCACCTTGCCCAGTTCCCAACATTTCACCAAAGGGTTTTAGCATGCACGGTTGATCCTTGCCTGACTCAATTATTCTTTTGGGGTTGAAGAATGGTGATTTTCCATTTCTACATTTAATAGAAGGTAGACTTCTGATTTTTTTTTTTTAAAAAAAAGATTTCCTCTATCAACAGGGGATGAACTATGTGCCTCCAACGATACAAGGTAAATGTTTTTGAGTTTTAGAAAAAAATTTAAATTACTATTATTAAACAGTAACCCAAAAGATTTTTAAATTGTGATAAAAACATAACATAAAAATTATCATCTTAATCATTTTTAAATGTACAGCTCAATTGTGTTAAGTATATTCACATTTTTGGGCAACAGATCTCCAGAACTTTCTCATCTTGTAAATTGAAACCTTATGCCCATTAAACAACCCCCATATTTTCTCCCTCCCCCAGACCTTGGTTAACTACCATTCTATTTTTCATCTTTGTCAATTTTATTCCTTTAGATAACTCACATAAGTGGACTTGTACAGTGGTTTTTTTTTTGTGTGTGTGACTGGCTTATGTTATGTAGCATAAGGTCCTTGAGGGACATTTACATTGTAGCATACGTGAGAATTCCTTTTTAGGGCTGAATAATATTCCATTTTACGGATATATCACATTTTGTTTACCCATCATCTGTCAACGGACACTGGGCTGCTTTCACGTCTTAGATATTGCAAACAATGCTGCTATGAACATGGGGTGCAAATATAACTCCAAGACCCTGCCTTTAATTCTTTTGGATATATACCCAAAAGTGGGATAGACAGCACAGTAGTCCACTTTAAATTTTTTGAGGCCCACCGCCCTGTTTCCCATAGCAGTTGCAGTGTTTACTGTTGTCCCCAATGTCCCATGCAACCTCCAGTGACCTTGTGCTGAGGGGGCCCCGCTGGAGGCTGCAGGGCGGGAAGCCCCTTTAGAGACTTCTGGGGACAGAGGCAGCAGCTCCTCTCCAGGGCTGCAAACTCCTGTCAAAAGATGGTCCCCTAGCGCCAAGTCACGTGTGAGAGGGAGGGGACAGGTGCGACTCGGTTTTGACTTGGGAGACAGCAGGGCAGGTCCACCACACTCCTCTGCGGGGCACACGGCTCTTCACAGCCCGGCTTCCTTCCCCGACACGCAGCCCTTCCGCCGGCGCGGAGCGCTGCCAAAGAGCAAGGAAGGAAAACGCGTCCCCTCTGGGCCGGCGGTGGCTGGGAGATCTGCTTTGGCCCCGAGAGGAGCCCGGCGGGCCCTGCGCGGCCCAGGCGCGGCTGCAGGGCAGAGATAACAGGCACAGGAAGGGCGGGGTGGCAGGTCCTGCCAGCGGCCGGGCCCTCGTGTCAACAACGAGCTGCCCCCAGCCCAGGCAGGAGGTGATTCATCTCCCCTGCTGCGCGGAGCCTGCTGGCCCGCTGGCCAGGTACCAAGGGACCTTGGCCAGGTGCCGACGCCTTTCCCTTCCCCATGCTGGTTGGGGATCAACCCTAGTCCTTCTGGTAACTGGCCTGACTTCAAAGCCTGGGTGTGTCCAAGAAGTGCGCGGAGAGGCTCAATCGCTCCCAGGGGAGCCGAGGCCGCAGCTCCTGAGAAGGGGTCAGGACAGTGGGAACACGAGGTCTCCCCCGCTCTGAACCCCCACTGCCTATGTCAAGTGGCGTCCTCGGGGAATGGCACGGCAACTTCCTGGGCCACCCCCTCATCGACCCTGAGAAATAACCCCAACCGAAGAGATGGAGAGGGCACCTGAGCTTCGCACGTGCCTGCAAACAGGCTGCAGGAAAGGCCAGCGCATCCGAGACGCCGAGATGTAAGAACACAGCGCTTTTAATCGGGAACAGACCCCAGCGGTGTGCAGACACTGTCCACAGTGCCCCGCTCCTCTGCAGCAATGTCCTCTTCGGGCTAGAACGCCACATAAAGGTTTCTCTGGAGATGGCGTCAGGGGAGCAGGTCTCAGTCCTGAAATGTACAAAGTGGCACCTCTCCTTGGGCATCGGTCACTGGGCTGCAGAGTCTCGTCAAGTCCTGAAGTGGCTCCTCCTGTGACGGAAAGGAGAGTGTCCGAGCCACACCGAGCCCGTCCCTCGGGTCACTGCTTGGCCTTTTTCACGATGGTTCCCACGGCAGAGATAACGGTGGTCTTGGAGCCACTGGCACTGGTGGTCACTGTGACAACAGCTGGCAGGGTTGCCGTGGTGGTGAGTATGGTGGGCTGGGCTATGGTTGTCACCGGGATGGCTGAGTCCCACTTGCTCTTTCTCTTCTGGGCATCTGGGAATAAGACAAGAGAGAAGTCAGGACCAAGGTCAACCAAACAGCAACATTCTCGTTTCCAGAAGGCCGGGGTTAGAACTTAGGGAACAGGCACCAAAGAGGCTCCAGCCACACACAGCCGGGGGCAGCCAGTAAACCAGGGAGTCCATTCCAGGCTCCAAAGCTGGCTCGCAAACTCTGGGCTCAGACAAAAGCACGGCAAGGTGGAGCCGAGGCTCAGACCCCCATGGGGATCCCCACCTCCCCGTGGGGTCTGCTCCCCCGCAACAAGGCAGGGAAACCCTCGCTCCATCTGTGATGTGGCTGGAAGCGGACAATCCGCCTTCTACCTGCAACAGCGGTGCTGGCTGTGGTCGTGGTGGTGGCCGTGGCGTTGGTCGTGGTGCCTTTCTTGGTGCCTGTCACAAACTCGATCTGGAGGAGGAGAGGGAAGAGAGTGAGACCTGGGCAAAGCTGTTGATCCACGTCCTTTTGCCAGCCGTCTGCTCCCGGGGGACAGAGAGTTTGGCACCATACAAAGGAGGCATTGAGAATCAGCTCTGCTGTGACTGTCCGGGGGAGGGAGAGGTGTCAGAAAGGTGTCTGAGAGGGATTTTTACTACTCTGAAAAAAGTTTCCCAAACAGACACTGTATCCCCCCCAGCATCACTAGGCTTCTGCACACACCCGGGGAACCCCTGCCCGCCGCCCCACCTCACATGCCCAGGCCCCTCCTCCTCACACCCCGGAGGAAGCGGTGCCCGCCAGCACAGGGGAAGGACAGCTCCGGTCCCCAGGCGCTGCAGACACGTCCCCGCAAT